CAACTCAACCATTTATAGGTGCACCTATACCACAAAATGGCAGTATTTACTATGGAAACAACTATTATCCAAATCCAGGTTACTTTCCACCAGGTGGAATGGCTCCTGTAAATTCTGTATGTAATAATTTTGTACCACCAAGTCGTTCTGCACCAGGTATTGGTCGTATTAATTATAATGCAAGACCTTCGGTGCATTTGAACGGGGCCGACTTACCGCAAGATGTTGCTACGTTAAGATATTTTTTTAATCTTGGAGTTGAATATCGCATGAAGAATAATATCTCGAAAGAATCGGAGGGTAACTTTATTAATATAAGTACGGTTAGTTTGTTTAGTTCGAATATATGTTTTTTTCAGGTGATACTGATGACGAGCTCATGCCTTCAACATCAAACTTAAAAATAGAATGTAAATCTGATCAATCTAAGGAGGTAAAACTAAATTTAACTTCTTTTTATATATTATAATTATATTATACTAACATTAAAAGGAAACAAAGTATGATTCTAATAACAACAGCGTATCAAGAGCTAATGGTAACGTCGAAAATGTTAGGAGGACCAAGTATTCAAATCAATCTCAGTTTCTTGCTATGCGAAACCCAAATCGTCGATTTACACCGCGTCCCTTACTTAATAAGGAACGCTTTGGTTCCAGATCAAATTATGGGCGATATGATGCCGGTGCTGTTCATTTACAGAAGTATAATACACCAAGTTCAACACGTTATAGAAATCGTAATAGTCCTACGAATTTGTCTATTACTGGCGTAGATCATCAGAATGGTTTCGGTGGTGACGAAAATCGTAGTGACAATCAGGTAAATTTTTTATAAATGCATACTTTTATTATTTCGATATTTATATATTTAAATATATTACACGTTGATGCAATACAACACATATTTAAATCACTGAGTAACATTATAAATACCCTTTATGGTAATAAATTTTTATAGTAATATTAGTAGAATTAATAATGAATTTTTATTACATAAAACAATTTAGTTAATAATTTAGTTGTACTAACGATATTTAATTTAAGTTGAGGTTAAAAGTTTGTTAACAAAAAATTATTTATGCAGACACCGTGTAGTAATGTTGCATCCAACAACTTGGCAGTTGATTGTCAAAGTGAATCTGCAAAGACTTCTGTAGTTCCATCACCACAATACAGCGTTCCTCAAGCACCACCTGGCGCTTTGATAATTCCAGTACCATCGAATTCTTACAATACCGGACCACCATCTTCACAACCGGTTCCAATTAATATGCAACAACCATATGCTGCTGGTGGGCAATATAATTCATGCTTAGGTGCACCACCATCTAGTACACCATTGACAGGCAACATACAAATGATGCCATCACCAATAATGCCTGGAATGGTTAACAATGGATATTATACGGCTACGGGACCAATTGCACCAATTCACGAAGGTGAAAGCGATAGTGGAATGCAATACCAATTTGTGTCGCAACCTCCAAATATGCAAATTTATATTCCAACTGTAAATAATGCACAAAATTTGAGTCCTTTGATTCCTACCCAACCAGTTGCTGGAGGTCCTCCATTACCTCCTGTAGCCGGTTCTCAGGTAAGTTTGCAGTGAACAGTAAATGAATAAGAAATATATTTTAAAGATTATTACTTTGTTGAATAGAGTCGTAACGTTGATGAATAAATGTGTAAACTTTAACTGGGGCATAAGGTGCATTTTTATTTGATGTTGTAGTTTGACAATGGGTAAATGTTTTTGTTTAATGATTAAACTACTTTATTATACTATTAATTAGAAAAAGTATCATTATTTATACATAATATATAAAATATATTTTAGTTTTTGTCATTATTTTAAGTTTGTATTGTAGTAAAAAAAAATTAAATAATATCTTAATTGCACTACAGATACTAATAGTCAAGTATTGAAAATCAAAAATTTTCTTTAATGCTTAGTTTTAATTTTCTCATAAATTTAAACAATTTATCTTACTTATAAATGTATTGTATTTTTAAAATTGATTGTAATTAGTTATTCATATATTATACTGTTGCATATCTAATTTTGTTCCAAAAGTATCTGATCGTATTAATATGTATAATTATTTTTTAATTTGTGTTTGAGAGTTTTAATAGATTTTATTTTAGAAGAAAAATGATAAAAATATACTTATTCGCAGGGGTATTGGTGTCCACCAGCAATTCATCAAACTATACCACCGATTATAGCGCATAATACAACTCCACAGTACGTTCCAGCCAATGGCATACCTTTTGGTGCAAATACACCCAAAACGGCTAACTATAGACGTGAAAAACAACAACAACAACAACAAACTCATGCACACCAGTTTGAGTAAACACATTTATAACTTAAACAATTTGAAATATTTATAAATATCTTCTTTATAAAACATTTAAATATTTGACATATTTTAAATGATTTTTTGATAGTTCTAATAATCCTTATAATAAATTGGCATTAATTTTTAAAAGCCAATTTTAGCTTATTATTTTTTTTGTACATAAAAAAATATCTGCTTTAAAAATATGTTAATACATTATATATATAATGAATTTTTTACAACAACTTATATACTCTATATTTTAAATTTATTGATTGTCATATTTCACATAATGCTTACGAAGGAAACATTTTTGCTAGTAGTTTTATATTTTGTATGAAATTTACTATACATTATTATATTATATGTTATTCTCTTAACAAAACATTACATTTTATTAATTGTTAATTTTATTAAAATACGCATCTTAGGGTTTTAAAAAAAATTACAAGTTTAAAATTATGATGTATGGTTCAAGTAGTTGAGTTTCATGATTAACTATTTTTAAAGTATTTTTTTTTTTTGCTTTTAATTACTATAATATTTATATTTTAAAACATTTTAATTTCCAATTTTTAATAATTTAATTACACATACATTTGATTAAACATAAAACATTACTGTTAACTATATTTAATTTTAAGAATTTATGCCTTTAAAAACTTAAAAATTAAAAAAAAAATATTAAAAGAAAAAGATAAAAAAAAAACAGAAAAACTTGTAAAAACATAAAAAAAATATATAAAAAATTTAGATATAAGTCAATTTATAAATTGATTTTTATTTCATACTCTTAGTTTCATAGATAACATTTTTTTATGAGAGAAATTATAATTTTTAAAAAGATTTAAGATATATTTGTGTGAATCAGCTATATGTAATTAAGAAAATTGCAGCACTTGTGTATAATACCTGCAAGTTCTAAGTGACAAAGTTGTTTGATATCCGATTCATTTAGTCTTGTTATTAGAATATACATAGAATCGTAATAATTATAAAGTTGTATGTAGTAAGGATGATGATGTTATTTATGAATAAAAAGTTATCGAAATAGACTGTGATATATCAAAGGGGCGTGGTACATAGTGAATTGAATTTCCAATAGTAGATATTGTGTAGAAGTTATTTGAATTTATGATTTGAAAATCAGAACATATATGAATGTATCGCCATTATATTTTTTCTGTAAATTGTGTTATAATGCGATTTCGTATAAGTCTTAAAAAATTGTCTCAAGAGGTGGACATGACATGTAAGTGTGTTCATAACATTTTGACCGATATTTGGGCATAACACTAGTTATCGCACGAGATCAATTTTGTATAAAAACAGCACCGAAAACAAGTTGCTGAAAACGTGATTTCCACTAAACATAGCTTTACTACCGTGTTCTAAAGTCTGTAATTGATCTCAAGTCAAAACATATTTGAGTACTCTTAGTAAATTACACTTAAAATATAAATAACTGCTTAATGCTTAGAAATAAAAGTTTGCATCTAGCTTAAATAATTAATTTTATGATATTTTTATTTGAAATTTGAATTAATGGTGCTATAAGAATTTGTGAAATAAATATGTTTTAAATAATTAGTAGTTAAGTGTTATTAGGTTTGTGACGCTTTCCGCGTGTCTTTCGTCTGCTCGCTTGTAATGTATCAATCACGCTGAATATTAGATCTAAGAAACTTTGTGGCTTTATCTTATCTTCTCTCTTAACACGATTTACTTCTTTAATAGCATTAGTACTACCAGTACTGGAGTACATAGAGGCTTCTGTAGACTGGAACATATTAGAAAATTTAGTATATGAAATAGTTATTATTAATTATATTCAAATTAAAAATTGAAACTCACATTTGCGTAAATATTAATTAATAATAACATAATTACAATTATAAAAGCTGTAAAGTTTTTCATATTGTGAAAAAAAGTTGGTTAATATTTTTTATTTAGTTTTGAACTTGTAACACTTCTTTTCAACCGATTTTAACGTTAATACCTTGAGAAGAATACATAAAATTTGTTAACGATACCAAAAAAGAATTTTAAGAATATATTAATTACACGATAAAAGTTTAAATAAATTTTTTTTAAATATTATATTAGTACAATTTAAAACTTCAGCACAAACGAACAAGCGCTCAGCAATTTATAATGTAATGCAATTTATAAAAAGTTTTTATGTGTTCGCCCAAAAGCAACAATCGATTGCGATTGTCTTGCATTTTGTGGGTGACCTACATTTTTATAAAATTGCATGCTAAACTAACATTGTTTTATCATTTAAATTGTATTTTATTCATTATGAATTATGATTTTTCAATGATGTATATGATGTATCTATATAGTACATTAGATCTTAACTCTCAACTCTCTATTGTTCTCACAAATGATTAGGGTTACGTAGCAAATTTCTAGGAAATTTAAATTAGTAGATTAATTTTTATAGAATTAGAACTAACTAGAACTAGCACTAACTAGAACTAGCACTATTTAGAACTGTCATATTAAGGCAAAGTTTGTCCACTTCGCCACTACCACAAAGTTCTAGTAGCAGCCCTAAGTATAAATCAATATTTTTCCTTTATACTATGTTTTAGTTCCCATTTCGGAGAGATTACCATCATGTGTTAATAAGAAATAAAATACGCTGATATTCAGTATCACACAACTTGCATCTTTTTTGGAGAGGTTTTTGGTCAATCAAAAAGTTTTAAGTTTATCCAAATAATAATAAATGTAGTCTTAGAAATATAGTTAAACCAACAAGCAAATCTGTTTTAAAGAGGTATTCTTTAAAAGGGTTATCATTTTCATCGAACTGTCAGTTCAACTGGGTGTGCCATCAACTAGGTTTCCCATCAACAGGGTGTGTCTTCAACACGGGGGTCCCTTCAGAAAAGGAGTCCATTTATCAGAGGTGTTTCATCAATAGGGGTATCCATTCCAAATTTTTGTACGTCCCCTCAGCAGAGGTACCTACTCAAAAGTGGTCCAATAGTGGTATTTGTTTAATAGAAGTTTTTCGTTTACCGTCTCATCAATAGATGTGTCCTTTCAATAGAGTTATCTATTAAGTAAGGGTTTCGCTTCAATAGGTGTATTCCTTTAAAAGGTGTGTCCCTCCAATAGAGGTGCCCCTCCAATAGAGATGTCCCTCTAATATAGGTATCTATTCAACACGGGGTGCATCCCGTGGGTCTTCAATAGGATTGGGTTTTCAATAGGAATGCTGCTTCAATAGAGTGTTCTCTTCAATAGATGTTCGTTCAATATCATTCAGGGATATCTGAAAGAAAAGTTTCCATTGTGTCGTGGTTTTTATAACAAATTTTTTTCCCCATATTTAGAAACTTATTTGTATAGCGTATATGCAATTAATTTATTGGTTCTATACTTCGTGACTAGTGTGTGCATCAAATTTGTAAGTTCAAATCTATCATAAGTTTTAGAACTTATGCTATAGCTATTTATATATTGCTTTTATTTTTGGTTTGTTTTAGTCACCTCACTCTATATGTGCTCACTTTAATTATTATGAATTCTTTTTAATTATAATTTAATTTATTGTTATTGTTTTAAATTTGATTTATATATTTTTGTAAAGGGTAATTGGTTTTAAAAATATTCTATTGTTAGCTATACTATGACTAGGGTCCATACCATCTTCTGATAAAATATTTGTAATGGTAATTTAATTAGTCTTTATTATACGTAATTATATTTCTAAGTCAATTTTCAATTAAATTAATCGTTTTATTTGCTGGAAAAGTTCTGTTAGTATCAATTAATCACTTTTTAATAAAATTGTGAGTATGCCTTTCACTATTTTACTATATATAATACTATATGCATGTGCTTAAAATAATAAAATAAATATTTTTTTTAAAAATTGTTTTATTTGCGGTAAACGCGCAGTATAAAGTATGTAAAAATATCTTAGTCAGTTAAATAAAAAGACAAATCGCCTTTTCGTAGGAATTTTTTAAGTTGTAATTAATTACAACAACCTATGAGATGTTGTTTAGTAGTTTGGTGCACCATATGGAGATGGAGCATAACCACCTTGACCAGTAATACCAGCTAAACTAGCAAGACCGTGGCTGCCTGGTAAAAGTTGATAACCTCCAGTATTAGCAGAAGCGCCAGCAGGACCAGCTGCAGCAGCAGCAGGAGAATTACCAAGACCTGATAAACCGGCTAAGCCTGAGCTCAAACTACCATCAGCGCTGGCTGCAGCACTTGCTGGGAGATTACCGATGGGTGCGAATCCAACTGGAACTGAGGGTAATTGAGCACCAGCCAATTGTTGTTGTTTCTCATTGACGAAATATTTTTCTGCTGGTGGTTTGACAACATTAACGTATACAGGTTCTACTTTGACTGGGCGTGGGTGATGTTTGACGAGAACCTTGCGCAATACAACTGCTGGTGGTTTGTGTAATACAACTGGAGCTGGTCTGACTACTAGTGGGGGATGATTTACCAACACTTTGGTTGGTGGACGTTTAACAATGATGGCGGCTGGACGATGAATTAAAATTTCACCCTTGTTTTGTGGATAAGTAATCGATGAGGTAACAGTGTTACCGCGTGTATTGGCAGGAGAGTATGGTACATTTTTGTTAGGTACACCATATGCAACAGGAGCAGCATAGCTGGGTTCAACGGCTGGCACTTGAGCACCATAGCTACTATATACTGGGCCAATTGCCTAAAAAATGAAATAAAAAAAATTTAATAAATTAAAATTTTAATATTATTAAAAGTTCAGTTTATACTATACGTACAGCTAAGGCAACTGTAAGCGCTATTAAGTAGTTGAAACGATTCATGTTTGTTTAGGAGAATCTATAGATTCTTATTTTTTCAGCAGGTTAGATTTGTTTAGCTTCTGAGTTAGTACGCTTTTATGCTGCTGTGCTACTTTCTCAAGGCAACTGTTACTTCTGTTGTATTTCGGTAAGCATCAATTCTTTAAATATGTTTGCATTCACCTATGTAATTAATTCCGCAAATCTTTTGTGAGAGTTTGCGATTACGTGACATTTATGTGGGTACAACATTTTTACCGGTTAGAGCTGTTATATTCTTTAAATGCTTTCATTTCAAATTGTTGCCAAGATACGTA